GTCTTGATTCTTACAATATTAATCTCAAAAATCGCCATAATAAAAACAGTGTTATAATGAACAGCGCCGTAATTATTAAGGGATAATGTATTGGTGACTTGAGGAGCAAACATAAATATGACGCTCCTAATACAGTATATAATACGCCATTTTTTACATGTAAATAATAAAAAAAAAAAAGGTTCTCCCTTTGTTATATTTAAATATCTTACACATACATTTTACTCACAAAAACTATATGCTTTCTCATCAGTCATTAGTCTTGCTAGTTGCTACACATATTTTTGTCTTTTTCAATATACATAAATACTAGAGTTTTCGGTATGTGAAAATTGCCCACCGGTATTTGGTATATGTTTATATACCGGTTTTAACGGTATACCAGTATGTCAGTATGTATCGATAAATACTGTTCGTTCGGTATATTTTGCTCGCTCGGTAAATGCCGTTTAAAGTAAATACTTGAACCGAATACAGTGTACAATACTAATACACTTTAAGTACACTATCTACACCACCGTCAAGCTCAGTCTATCATATACTATAATATTTAATTTTTATAACGATAAAGTCAAAGAAAAAGTTAAAAGTTTAAGGCTGTTGAAAGTGGGTAATTTTTCCCTGCATTTATACCAATGAGCAAATGAAAAAAAGTTACTTTAAGAAGTCCAATTTTTAAAAAATATTTGAATTCCTTATTCTTATATCTAAGTTATGTAAGAAATTGATTTTTTTTCTGGTTACACTAAAATGAAGGAGAATTTTTTACAAAAATCAATAACAATGTGTCCTAGAACTTTTCCAGATAAACGTCGTTGTTACCTCAATGTCCTCAGATCAAATTGACTCATAACAATCAACAATTGAAATGAAATCCTCTCGATTTGTCTTCTTATGTACTTAAATAATATCTTAGAGGCATACTCATATGTTCTCTGTGCGCTGCATCTGTAGTTTCATCGAAAATTATTGAAAAACACTGAGACTGCTGTACTTTTCCAATTAAAGTTTAAATAATAATAATTTTATTTTTGAATCTGTCACCACCGTTTTAGGCAGTAAAATTGCTTCGATTTTCTTCAACCGTATCCTGTTTGATGGGAAAGTGAATCTAGTTGGTGTTGCATTGGCAAAGTCAAAATTTAAAATTGCTAATAGTCTACAAAAGCGCGGGGAAAAACAGCATAAAAATTAAGGGAAGACGGGATGTTTTATGCAAAATCAGTTTTCAACAAAATCGATTTTGCAGATTTTTGGTGTACCTATAAAACAAATGAACATATTTACACTAGTTCCCGGATGGGTGACCACTGACCATACGGGATTTTTAGCAACGAATCCTTGCCACACATGCAAAAATGTGTTTTCAACCGTTACCCCTACTAACAACCTACAAAGTAAAACCGAACCAAAGACCAACAGCTAATGGCCTAAGTTGCTGGGCCCAAACTCAATAAAAAAAAAAAAGGAAAAGAAGTTCTAATTTAGACAAAATTTAATAATCGTTTTGTAGTATGAAATTTATAAAATGTTCAACTTTTATTTCTAAGTATTGAAATTTTAAAACAAGGTTCCACGTAAATAGTTTATAATATATAAATTACTTTAATCACTATAATATCATCAAATATACTTAGTAATATCATAGGCTGACTGACCGTCCACGCTGAGAATCGTTTTTCTTATACAATGATATTTTATCATTGAATTCAAATGTAACACCATCCATTACAGGGACAATTGGGTCCATATTTATTACCTAATTTGCTACATGAAATCACACCTAAATTTAAGCTTTTTTTGATAACTTTTCATATATGCAGAGTGCAGACAAACAAAAATTACAACGACGGTTATTAAGGCAGATCCTTTTGGGAAAAATCTGTTTGGTAGACCGGGTTTAAAGTGGGAAGACAGTGTCAGCAATTATGTTAAAGCAGGGAAACCGAATATACAATGGAGAGAAAATGCAAAGAACAGGGAAAGATGGCGCCAATTTGACTCAATAATAGGGCTCTTAAAGGCTGAAACTTACTAAAAGAATAAATAGAAGTCTCTTCATAATTTATGGTACCTAGGTATTGTGAAAATGGTAAAACAATTTTGCATGTCGTTATTTGGAAATGTATTGTGCTATATTTTTTTTCAATTATAAGCTTGTGGGTACAAATAATACAGAAAATAAAACTAAAAAAATTATATACTAATGGATCGACATCGTCACATATTGATTTTAATATTTTTCATTTAACCAGCTCTTCAAATAAATATAAAAGCTTATATACAATTGTATAAATTGTTTAAATAACATACACAATATGCATGTTTACGAGTCTGAAGAGTGAGGACTCTGGCATATCTACAAAATGTATTATTCTGTAAGCGCCTATAAGAACCTTTATTAAAAAAAAATCAGTTTTAATTCCTTCAGCAACAAATTAGTCAAAATGTTGTGCCATGAAGGATTTATTACTAATAAATAATAATATAATATAGAGTTCGTATTTGGAGAATCCGTCTGTTGTTTTTGTTATCGACGATTGACGAATGACAATCGTTTTCTACAAAAATTAAATATTATTTATATTTAATTTGGAAACAGGGCGCGCCACTAATCGGTATTATGTTGGCTTGTTATTGTTGTAATGTTAGTCTGGAATCCTGCACGTTATGTTACGTCGGAGCTTTAACAGTAAACATTAAACTACCCATACGGCCTTTCTTAATTTTATATAAATTTATAAATAAGTGAAGTGATGAATAAACGTCAAAAATTCTCCATATTGGACTTCTTCAATAAAAAGAAGAAAAATGACCAAGGTAATCTAAACATTTTAATTAAACAATAATTATAATGATCGTTATAATGAGGGGCGGACTGGGAGGTAAACAGCCCAGTAATTCTATAAAACTAAACGGCCCAAGCCTATTTATAACAGCTTCTTTATGAATACCTACTTACTTTTGGCTATAAATTATGAAGAGATTATAGGTTATATTAAATATTAATTATTATAATATATTTTATAAGAATCATAAATTTATAACCCTTTTGATATTTTTGATGTTTGTTTACTATTGTTTTTATCGTTTATTTCATAATCGCCATTCATATTCGTATTAAACCAAAATCATCTTCATCTTCATCAGTTTCAGAATCGTCGTATTATTATATTACATATTAGTCATTACTTTTAATATAATAATTATATAAATGTTTTATGTTCTCTTTCTCAACAAACCTACAATATTTTTATAAATATTTGCAAATAGTTCAATGATTGTAGTTTAGCAATAACTATCTGGCGGTCGATGTACCAACCAAATCAGATAAAGTGTTAAAACATTTTTGTGTATAAAACTGATTTTTAAAATTGTTATACAATATAGGTACATCATATTATATCTAATAATTATTTTTATTATAAACTTATGGTTCGACTATAAAGTTATTGTATCATTGTACCAACCAATAACAGTGGTTTTTAAACTGTTTGAAAATAAATTTAAATAAATGTATTAGTAATATCGTGAAATGTTCAACATTTTAAATGCTGCGGCGGCCCGGCCCACACATATAAGCCGGCCCGGTGTGCTACTGCACACTAGCACACCTGGCCAGTCCACCCCTGGTTATAATAATATAATATATTTAATAAACTCCAAAAGCATAAGGTATAATAATATTATTATTATAATATCTCATTTCACTGTGACTGTGTGAGAAAACCAAATAGTATCTATATCTACCTATAATTTATTAATTAATGTACTAATATAATATTTATAACTATAGATATTAATGACAATCAATACAACGAACACAATGACGATGATTCAGGTATCCTTAAGTCTGCAGGTATGTGATAACATTTTAATTTTTAAATAAATATTAAGATCAACATGATTTTTAAATGAAACTTTAGAATCAAAATTAACTCCTAAGTCATTAATAATATTTATATGTGACAAGTATAAGTTATTAGTGCAGTTAGTATAGTTAATACATAATGAGTTTCTTTTAAAGAAAATGAAACAGTTGCATATAATTATCAATATTTAATATCATACCGTTGTCATTGCACCATGTAAATAAATTATTTAGATTTCTTGGAGCTGTTTAGCATCATTTAAACATTTAATTTTTTTATAAATGTTGTTATCATCTGCTAATAGCAAACAGTTTTATTTTTTTTTATTTTTAGCTAGTTCATTAATAAAGAGATAAAATAATAGTGGTGACATAATATGATCACCTTGATGGACACCTAATGTTACTTTTATAGACTGAGAAAGTCATTTTTATATTTTATAATTTGAGTACAATTTGTTAAAAAATAATTTAACCATGATAAAAATGGATCATTAATACCATATAATTTAAGTTTGGAGATTACTAGACAACACAACTATACAAATATACAATTATGTAATTATACTGTGTACATAGCCACATAGGTACTGTCTTATACTAGCATTTGAATTGTATTTTATAACATATTTTATAGTATAGGATAATAATACAAAATGGAAGTTGACCAAACATATTTTTTATTATATTTTTATTTTTAATAATACTGAGTTTTATCATATTTAACATTATAATTATTGACTTAAATGTAATTGGGATGTATTTTTTTTTTTCAGTAAATAATAAAGACCATATTGCTGTTAACAACAGTTTATGTCAACCAATTGAATTTACAAGAGATGATGACACTCCTGAATGTTGGGACTCAAAACAAGCAAAATACTTTTGTGAAGAATATCCATGGCTGTATTTCAAAAACAAAAAGTTGGGTTGTAATATATGCCATAAAGTAAATTTAAATCTTAATAAGAACAAGTATCTCATGTGCATGTATCATCAAACTGGATTCAATGTGACATTGTTCCATCTGGAAATAGTATATCCCAACAACAAGCTAGTTTGAGGAAAAAGATCTTCAAGCATAAGTGTAGTCAATCACATATCAGTGCAGAGAAGTAAGCTAGAAACTATGGATCTACAAATTATAAAAAATAATAAATTACAATATGAAAGTACAGAAAAAATATTTAGAACAGCTTACTTCATTGCCAAAAATCAACGTCCATTTCTAGATATGCCTAAATTAATAGACCTACAAGCTCTCAATGGAGTTAATATGGGTCGAGTGTTACAAACCAATAAATCTTGTGCTAATATTGCTGACCATATTTCTAATGAAACGAGGGTTAAAATTTGCAACAATATTATTGAAAACAATAGAAAATTATGTATTGTTGTTGATGAGTCAACTCAAAAAACAATGTTAGTTATTTTTTTAAGATGTGCTAATGGTGATTCTCAAGACATTAATATATTTTTTTTTGATATTATTGAGTTAAATTGTACTTCAGCTGAATCAATTAAAACTGCTATAATCAATAATATGTTAAAACATGGAATCAAATTAGATTTTTTAAAACAAAATCTAGTTGGATTTGTTAGTGATGGAGCTTCTAACATGCTGGGAAGAAAAGCTGGAGTTGGTGTTTTACTACAAAAAATTTTTCCTGACCTCATTATCTGGCATTGTTGCAACCATAGATTGGAACTTGCGGTAAGTGATACTATTAAAGAAGTACAAGGTCTTAATCACTTCCAATGTTTTTTTGAAAAACTTTATTCATTGTATCACCAATCTCCCAAAAATATGACAGAACTTAATGCATGTGCTGCATCTTTAGAAAGCAGTATTTTAAATATAGGAAAGATATTTACAATTCGGTGGTTGGCATCCAGCATTAGAACAGTACGTGCAGTTTGGAATAACTATGTTGCTCTCCATAAACATTTTCAAGAATCTTCCATTGATAATAAAAGAGATGGAAAAGAAAGATCTAAATATTTAGGTCTAAATAATATGTTAACATCAAAAGACTTTGTATTCAATTTAGGTATGTTATATGATGTATTAAATGAATTATCTGATTTGTCATTACAACTACAAAAAAGAGATTTAGGTTTGACAAAAGCTCATAATATGATCGACCGAAAGAATTTTGGATAGTGTGATTGAAATACATGGACCCAAACTAACAGAAGTAAATTTAGCAAACGAAGAAATGGTTTTTAAAGGCATCCAACTTCATATCCACAAAAGCGTGCAAAAGATTAATTTCAGACAATTTTTCAGAAGTATTTGAAATAAACTAAAAAGTCGATTATTTACTACTCAGTCATCACATGTTTCAAATGCTTCCTCTAACTTATTTAAAGAAACTTATGATCAGTTATTAGCTGATTTAAATGTATTTGGTTCAAATACTTGGCCAGACAATTTCAACATTCAGTATGGCGATGATAGCATATTCGTCGCTTGTCACAAAAATTCAAAGTTGATGAAATTAGTGCTGTTAGAGCAGTGTAACCTTTTTACCACCACGGACCACTTTGACAATATTTTATAGGTCGCGGACCACCTCAATTTTACTCAAACTAGGAAGACCTTTTTTTTTTTTTTGCTCATTGACAAGAATAAACAAAAATTTACACGAGATTTATATATATTAAGATTAAACTTTACTAATAATTTACTTAGTGTGATTTTTGTATACGATAAGATAACCGTATATTACGGTAAAATAAAATATTTTTCGCTGTTTAAAAAAAAAATAATTTTTAATAGAAAACTAAGAAAGGTACCGCGGACCACCTATGACTGGCCCACGGACCACCGGTTGGGAAACACTGTGTTAGAGGTTTTCGTGAATTTAAAGACACTCTGGATGAAAATATAGAAGACCTCAAAAATTTGACCTCTGCAATTAAAACAATTGCAATATCTTCATCAGAATGCCAACGGGCCTTCAGTTCTATGAATGAGATTGTATCACCAAAAAGGAATACTCTAAGTTCTGAACATATTTCATCATTAATATTCATAAATGCTGTTGGTCCACCAGTTAAAAAAATAAATACAACAAAATGGATTGAATCTTGGATAAAAAGAGGAAAAAGACTTGCAACTGAAGAAAACTGTCCTAAAAGAATAAAAGCAGCCGAAGCAAATTCTTATGAATCACTATGGAATCTAATAAAAAATAAAAGATTAAAAATGTTTGTTATTTATAAATTATAACTTTTAAATAATAATTTTAATAAATACAATTTAAAAGTTCCTTATAATTTTTTTTGATCATACATTTTAAAGCAATACATATACCTATGATAAAAATAAGAATTATTTAACTTGCAGCACATTTAAGAATATAGTCACAGCCAGTCACAGGATGAAATAAATTATTTAACTAACGTTAAACTTCAAATATTAAAATTAATATTGAAAAAAAAAATAATATACTAATAAAAGAGGAATATTTCTTATGTATAAATTTAATATTTTTCTGTAGGTAACTGTAAAATACCTGAGTTATTTTAAATTGAAAGTTAATTGAGTAATTAATTTTATCATGTGGCTATATACTTACAGTTTTTAGTTTTTAAATTTGTCGTACGTTTTGTTGTATTGATATATTAATACAAATAAATACCTATGAGTATTGTTTATTATTTGTAATAGATATCTGTGTTAGTCATTGGATATATTTCATTATTTACATATTAAATGTAATTAGGGGGTGTGGGGAACGAATTGAAAACGGGTTACTTTTAGACTAATTTGCTCTGGAACGCTAATTGTTCAACTACCTACATTTAGAGTCCAGCTTTATTTTTTTTTCCAATTCAACTACTGCGTTTTTCACACGATATTGTAAATTCAAAATTAAATATTTATAATGAAAAAGGTACTGTTATGCAAATTAAAGATGTTTTCAAACACATATTCAACTGTCATATGACATCAATGGTGGGCATTAACTTGTTAAAAAGTTAAAGTTAAGTTAAAAAGTTAATTTTTTTTTAACTTTTTAACTTAACTAGTTAGTTTTTTTTGTTTTTAACTTATTAACTTATTCAGTTAAATTTTGTATTGTTTAAACTTAACTTTTTAAAGTTAATTATCATTATTGTACAGTTAAGTTAATTAAATTAAATTTTTATCATGTGGAACCAAGAGACAAAACTTATTCTTTCTATTTTGCCATTTTGGTAATTTATTTTTCTAATAATATAATATCATCAATTCATAATAATCAAATTATATTATAATCTATAGGTACTATAGTAAAGACTAAAGAGTAATAATTAGTATACTATCCTTGTATCGACTGGCTATTTTCAAGAATTCTATTATTTAATGATTTAATATTATTTAATGGTATTGAATAATCTGATTTTTGTTTTATCTAACTCTCCAATTCCTAAAAACAGGTTTAAAACTAAATATCATAGTCTTTAAATGGATATCATTATATCAATAAAATGGTTACTGGTAAATACGACAATTCCAATAGACAAAACAAAAAGTCGTCCGAGATATTTATAAATTATAATTTATATTGCCGTATTCGTTATAAATACAAATAAACGTATGCGATTAGAAAATAACATTATCGAAATAAATATGGAAACAATTTTTGGTAGGTATTATACTATTATCATTATTCATTGATTTTATTTTAATAATAGACTATTATAATGGTACTAAATGACAAATATTTAAAAACCGCCTATACCTATTAATATTATGACTTAAAAAAAAAATTAACTTTTTTTTAACTGAGTTAAGTTAATTTTATTTTCCATCTTAACTTTTAACTTAACTAGTTAAATTTTATTTTTTGTTAACTTTTAACTTAACTGAAGGCAATTTAATTGAATTAACTTAACTTTCCACAGTTAATTATTTTCATTAACTTGCCCACCATTGTATGACATCAATATGGTATATTGGTGTATGAAATTAATTTATTTTAGGTGCAATTAATGGAGGGCATGCAAAAGAAGTATTTAACATTCGAAAATACTGATACGATACAACGTATCTTCACTGCAATAGAAACAAGTAGAAAAGATTATCCCACAGAGTTACTTGAAGCATTTGTGCATTTCAAGGATGCTAAAAACCGAAATGGCTTTTATAAAAATGACAATTATATACTTAGAATGTACGTTTTGTATAATCAATATAATAAATATAGCTACATTCAATTAGGAAAATATCAACTTACTATGGACGATGTACTTGATGCGAGTCCAGAACAGGGAGACTATATTATGACAGAAATGAAAGAGTTAGAATTTCAACATTATTTGAGAAATTTTCTGCACAGAATATAAAATAATTTAAGTGATTTTATATGTTTCAATAAAGATTTTCGATATTTTGAAAATTAATTTAATAAAACATATCTACTAAATAATATTTTCCACATACCTAATAATAATATAACTCGTCAAATAAAATTAAAAATGATAAAAAAAAAAATCGAACGATGACGTCGGAAACTGTACTGCATGTTATTTTATTATAGACTTGTACCTACTACATGCTATAGTAGTGTCATGTTTTTAAATAGAAGCATCGATCAAAATCTCGATGAAAAGAAAAGCAAAATCAGAAACATTTTAATGGAAGAAAAAATTAAGAATCCTAATTATAATCCAATAAAAGCAAAAACCATTATTTATGATATCAGAAATTATTTCAACAATTTCATTACAATAGCAGGAAACAATTTGGAGCTTCATCAAATAGGAAATGATATAGTCACTGTTTTGGTAAACCTGCCAGAATTTGCTGAAATCTTTCAAAGTTTAGAAAGAAAACACGTAAAGTACTTAAAAATGATAATCAATTATATTATGGCCAAACTAAATAGCTAGGGACTCGTATATTACCGGGCGGGACACTTTTCGGCCAAAATGAACCTTTCCCTTTTCGGCCATTCTGGAATGTCCGTTTTCGGCCAGTACACTATTTTGGTCACCAATTAAAAATATATTTTTTTTCTATTTAGCTATCATATAATACAGTTATATTTAATACAGATACATTAGGTATAATATTATCAATTTACAAAAAAAAGAACAAAAAGTTATAGGAAAACGTATTTTTTTTCATAACTGTAGCACATGCACACATATTCTCTATATTAAGAGTGATTACTAATTATAGTTGGGAATCCAACATCTACGTATACGTTGAATCTATACGTTGACGGTCGATAAAAATGACGAAATTATCATAAATAATGAAAATAATGAAAATGAAAACGAAAATGATCATAATATGATAGATCATAATCATAGTCCATATGAAACAAAAATTATTGATCGTCAAATAATTAATACAAGTTGTAAAAGGAAGGCCGCAGAAGACATATTTATTCGACCAAAAAAAATTATTTTCAAAGAAATTCAACAGAATAATTGTTCTGAATTTAATGAAACAGACATAAAGTGTTTACGGAAAAATTTATATGAACATCGTCGGAAAACGCTCTCAGTAAATCCAACTTCTATTCAAGAGGTACACGAAGCTTTGGAAAATCTAGATATAAAAACTATGAGCGGTGAGTCATTTTTAATATTCAACGATTCAGAAAAACACATAATTGTGTTTTGATGTCAAACAAGTTCAAACAGAATCATATGTAAAAATACGAAGTGCTGATATTCCAAAATTCCCAAAAGATAGAAAAATTAGGAATCGTCAGGATAAAAACCATATAAACATAACGAAATATGATAGAGGAGAGATTACACGAATGGAATTCATAAAACGCATGTGCTATATAGTTATAAAAAAAAATTTAAATATCCCTATACAATTATTTTTTTTATGTAAATTGATAATATAATGTAAATTGTAAATTATGTATTGTAAATTGTAAATTATGAAAATTATGACTATATTTTTTACGTTTTTAACTTAATAATATTATGAAAATGTTGACTTAATATTTTTCATGTATTTTACTTGACTTAATAGGTACGAGATTTTAAAATAAATTGTAAATTGTAATTATGAAAATTGTGGCTATATTTTTAATAATTTAATATACTTAATAATATTATATAAATTGGTATAGTTTAATAAAAAGAAAATATTTTTAATTGGTGACCAAAATAGTGAACTGGCCGAAAAGGGAAAGGGACATTTTG